ACTCGGAGCACATGGAGATAGCTGAGATGAACCGCGAAGTTCATTATTTCGATCAGCAGCTTGAGGCGGGTCACTGGAAACAAAATTGTTCATGATCGTCGATTGCATGCGTTGAAGTTTTTGTGACTTTCATTTGCATGCATTAAGTTCTGAGGCATTATTTCTTCGCAGCCAGTGCTTCGAAGTGGAGGGTTTCACGAAAGTTTGCGTGGACACTTTGAGGAGCAACAGCATCGTGTTTTTCATGAAGGGCAAAACAAAGTCTTTTTCAGATCTTGCCCTGACTACCGCCAAGACGAGCGCTTTGCGAACCATGAAACGCTGTGTCACGTTGATACGAGAAGCCATTGCAGCTGAATTTCCCAGTTTTGATGCTGTGATGGCATTCAGCATCTTCAATTTGAGCAGCGACCCATCCCCGCAGCGACATGGTGGTTTTTACCCCTCTGAGGAAACAGGATGGTTTAAAAAGGCTTTCCAACTTGTTTGAGCTGGATGAACTGGCGCTGAGTCATGAATTTCAAAAAATGCACAACATTGCGGAAGCACATTTCAAACAGGCTGGCTGTTCAAACCGGGACGCATGGCGATGGGCTTATCGTCGTGCCTGCCACAATCGTTCGAAGGCTCAGACTTGGACGTTGCCCAATTTAGACATTGTAACCTGGCTGTGCCTGTTAGCTTATATTTTTTGGTTGGGGAGGGGCATTTTTTTTTCAATGACTTTCCAAGATCGAGCTGTTTCAGGTACTTGCTGCTTACATGGCGTGGTCCGCCAGCACATCCTCGGTCGAGCAAACTTTTTCCAAAATTGAGCACAATCACCTGCAGCGTGGACGCGCGCATGCCACCCATGGAGATACATTTCGAAGATCAGTTGTGGGGTTGACATCCCACGAAGGGATGACAGAGTTATCAGATGCCCAGTTGATCAGCACGGCTCGCCTCATGTACTGTGCAGGAAGATCATGGTTCGCTCGCAGCAAAGACGAAGGTAGACGCGTTCGGTTTGATTCAGGAAGCCAACAAAAACAGAGAAACAACACAGAAGCAGAGTTTCTACGCAAAAGAAAACGCGATGTTCAAGAGGTTGTGATGAAACTTTCATCAGCGACGTCTGGGCCAAATGATGATGTGATTGATGTGCAGAGCCTGGATGAACCCATGGTCAAGGAAGCAAAACGATTGAGAATGGCAGTGGAAAAAAGAAAAGTCGAAGCGCATGGTGATCACTATTTGATTGACGGTGAAGAGCCAACCCAAAAGCAAATCCAAGGCAGATTGAAAAAAGACTTGGCTGATGACAAGAAAAGGCAGCAAACACAAAAAACCATTGACCAATTGTTTTCATTGACGAGCAATGTGAAACCACGCAGCTTGATTGGAGCATCTCTGTCGGGCCGCGTCGTCTGGATCGACGCCCCATCATCAACAGAGCGGCAGATTTTGCTCAACCACGGTTTTCATGCCCTGACGACATCTCTTCGAGAAGCTCAAATTTGGGTGGTGACCAGCAACAAACCTGAAAAGAGGGCTTTATGGCACGCAATGGTTCTTGGGGGAGTTGTGCTCTCCAGGAATGCTTTGTCATCACAGCAAGCAGGGTCTTGCATTTTGACATACAAGGCTGCAATCAAAAAACCGTTGGCCTTCTCAGTGACTGAAAAATTCAGAGCCAAAAATAGGGAACTTCATATTTTGTTGAAATCTGTGGTTGAGGACGTTCCCCAGAGCCAGTGGAAATTCACTGCTGCCAGGCAGGCACACATCATTCTTTGTAGTGAATCCGAGAAATCTACATTGAGAAAACCAGGCAAAAAAGTTTATACATCTGAAGATTTTTTCAATCGTTCTGCCAGCTTGACGTTGTGCACAGAGGAGTCCGGCCGCTTCTGAGAAGGTTCCTGTTTTTGCGGTGTGAACTAGACTATATGCATCGGATTGAAAAAGTGAAACACCCACTACAGTTGACATTTGCCATCATGTCTGTTTGCATGGTTGCATCGAAAGCATTGATTGCAGTTGTCTCTGGACTGGTGTGCCAATACTTGAAATTGCGCCAAAGCCGTTTTGGATAGTGACCATGATGAAGCCCCCTGCTTTCGTGCCCGCCAAGAAACGCTTCGTTCCCGACAATGTCCCGACAGTGAAACCATGCCCTTATAAGGCGCAATTGCTTCTAATGAACCGAGCGCCTTTCGCAAAAATCAGAAAGCATATCGAATACTTGGAAAAGTCTGACTCTCGGCAGCATTGTTTGAAATTTTCCAGTCACATTATTATCTGTTTTTTTGGTTTTATTTTGCTGGATAAGGAGATGTCGAGCGCTCAATGGTTCTCTCGGTTCTTGAAATTTTTGCTTCTGACAAAACGGCCTGGATTGCCATGGAGACCTGCAGACGTACGAGCTGCAGCTGCCAAAGCGGACGGAAACTAAGGCTTCTTCAAGAGCTTCAAAGTGATGCTCTTGAAAATTTTTAATTTGAAAGAGGTTTTGGCGCATACGTCTGCGTTACCACCAGCTACCATAATTAAATCTGAAATTAATGCTATTTGACACATTGCTGACTGAGGTGGGGTAAAAGGGCACGAGACTGCTTCCATGTTTTTAATTTTGCATAAGTTCAGTCAAAGTTCAGTCAACATGGTAACTACAACAAAAAAAAATCGAAAATTGAGCGACGTTAATTCATATGCACAACTTTATGGCTCCCTTACGCATTGCCAGACCGGTCCGGGGCCGCGAAAGAGGGTAAAAGTTCAGTCAACATGGTAACTACAACAAAAAAATCGAAAATTGAGCGACGTTAATTCATATGCACAACTTTATGGCTCCCTTACGCATTGCCAGACCGGTCCGGGGCCGCGAAAGAGGGTAAAAGTTCAGTCAACATGGCAACTACAACAAAAAAAAATCGAAAATTGAGCGACGTTCATTCATATGCACAACTTTATGGCTCCCTTACGCATTGCCAGACCGGTCCGGGGCCGCGAAAGAGGGTAAAAGTTCAGTCAACATGGTAACTACAACAAAAAAAATCGAAAATTGAGCGACGTTAATTCATATGCACAACTTTATGGCTCCCTTACGCATTGCCAGACCGGTCCGGGGCCGCGAAAGAGCGTTAGAGCGTTGGGCGCGAAAGGGAGCCATAAATTTATGGCTCCCTTACGCATTGCCAGACCGGTCCGAGGGCGCGAAAGGGAGCCATAAAAACGCGTAAGGGAGCCATAAGTTGCAGCGCCGCTGCTACTTATGGCTCCCTTACGCATTGCCAGACCGGTCCGAGGGCGCGAAAGGGAGCCATAAATTTATGGCTCCCTTACGCATTGAGCGTTGGTACCGCTGTACCCTAGTCACATGTTTTCGTCCCGGTCCTGGTCTGGTGAGTTAAGTACCGCTGTACCCTAGTCACATGTTTTCGTCCCGGTCCTGGTCTGGTGAGTTAGGTGATTTTTGATTCTCTTGATTTTGGCTCAAGATTCAAATTCTGTTGTTTCAGTCTTAGACGTTCATGGCAATGGTATTTAGAGCAAAGGTTTCTCGGAAACGGAGTGGTCTTACTTCCTCTCGCAAGAAAACGTCCGAAAGCAAACAAAAAAATGATGATGAAACGAAGCCCGTCAAACGATTCAAAGAAGAGTTGGAAAAACTCAACCAAGAGGCACAAAATGCAGCCCTCATAGCGAGGCCTCGATTACAACTCAAACGTAAGTTGAGACTTGCCAGCGACTGTGCTGGACTTGGCTCTGATCTCGTGGCTTTGAGGCTGTTTGGGTGCCAGCACTTAGTCACATCATCGGCATGGTCTGACAATGATTCCACCAAACGCAAGATGTATCGGGCAGTCTGTCGCGCTCTAGGTTGCTCGATTGCCCCGTGTCGCAAGGACATGACAACCCGTGACGCCAGCAGTGCCCCAGGCGCTGACATTTATGTTGCCGGTTGGCCATGTCCTTCATTTTCTGCTTTGGGGAAAAAAAAGGTGTCAGCGACAAGCGGGGACAGGTTGGTCTGTACGGTTTGAAATACATCATCGCCCACAGACGTACCATCGTTGTATTAGAGAATGTGAAAGGTTTTTTGCATGCGCAGCATCAGCACTTTCGATCAGGAACCAAGTCAATTTTGACCAGCTTGGGATACACTTCGAGGCTACGGGTTTTGAACACGGCAGACTTGGGCATTCCTCAAAGCCGACATCGTGTCTACATTGTGGCAATCATGTCGAATGACATGAAGAACAAATTTTCCTGGCCTAAGACAAGTGAATTTTCCAAGAAGTGGTTGGGCCGATTTTTAGATGTCGCCTCGAAAGGAAATGAAAACTGCAACATCGAAAAATATGTGGCAAAGTATGGAGACCAAGTTGCGACCCAAGAGTATATACTGGATGTGGCAGCTTCTGAAGCCTTCCAGTCCGCTCGCCGATACCAGTGTCCTTGTTTGACGCGTTCTAGGTTGAAGACATCGCCCACTGGTTTCTTCATCCCCAAGCTCCGTAGGCGGTTGTCGGTGGCAGAAGCGGGCAAGCTGCAAGGGTGGCCAACCGCTTTACTGAAGGACTTACAAAATAAGTTTAGCGACTCAGAATTAGGCGCCGCCTTGGGTGATGCGATGTCGGTGAATGTTTTGGGCAAAGTTCTGATCCAGTGTTTGGTGTCCATCGGCGCTGTGTCCCCAGAGGATGCTGAAACACTTGACCCTTGGACAGTCAAGTCTGGAATGCCGTCAGCCGCAGACAAAGCGTGGAACAGATCATGAAATTCCAGGAAGCGGAGAAAAGAGATGACTCGAATCGAGCTTCATGGTCTTACCTGGGCGCAGCATACTTGACATGGTTTCACTGATAGTGAGCAGCGCAAACGGAAACAAAAAGTCGGGAAACAGGGGATCGAGCGGACTCGATGCCGAACGTGTTATGTCCATGGATAGGGCAATGAAAACAGATTCTGGTCCGCAGAAATTATTTGGTTCAATAGCAGGATTGTCAGGTAGAATGCCGCCGAAGAAAGGTGAGAAGGAAACTCTTCCGGATGGCGTTCCTGCCAATTGGAGTGCTTGGCGACTGTCACGAGATGAACAGGACCGCAGGGAGTCAAGTAGCATAGACGTCAGTCACATGCATAGTCAGATCACATGCATGCAGACACGTAAGTCACATTGTGGACCCAAAGCCAGGAAAACATTGAGAAGGACGTGGCCGAGTTTGCGAAGAAATTGGTGGACGATGGAGCCAAAGAAGACGAGGCAGAGACCCAGGCAAGGACACTAGTCGGCTGTAACATGTTGAAGTTGCCATTGTGATGTAAAATGAGAAGTTTTTGATAAATTTTAAGATTTTATATCATGACAAGCAGCTTCACCACAACAACTGACGACGTCATATGTCGTCATATTCAGTCACCGTTGTTTGCGCAGGTCAAGGTCAACGATTACAAGGCTAAACTCACCAAAGATGCGAAGCAAAATAAAGCCAAACTTTCGAATGCAAACAAGCAGAACTCCGATTCTGCTGTGGCGGTCACACCCTCAGCCTCAGCTTCGAGTGCCGCAAAACCGGCTGCGGCGTCAACGACTGTGCATTCAAGCAAGTTGGGCTACTTTGAGCAAGTGCAGGAAGATGTTCGTTTGGTGCTGAAGCATTTGGGCAAAGACTTCGCCACATTTCCAGCCCTCAGCATCGCAAAGAAGAATAGCAAGGATGAAGGAGGAGTGCAAGAGCCGTGGTCAGCCCAAATGGCAGAAAGGGCACTTGGAAACCAAAACCTTTACATTGCAGCTGGGAATTTATTTTGGCTAGATTTTTTGAAAAGTCAAGCTCCAGGGGTGCCATTGCGAAGGCAGGCTGTGCAGCAACTCGGAGAGTTTTTGTGGCCGGCATGCCAGGTGAAACCAGCTTTTTCCCCACATTGACGTGTGGGGTTTTTGTTTTTAGTTCTGTATCCGCCTTCCGCCTCCCACCGCCTCCCGCCCCCTCACTCACACTCACTCACACTCACTCACACTCACTCACACTCACTCACACTCACTCACACTCACTCACACTCACTCACACTCACTCACACTCACTCACACTCACTCACTCACTCACTCACTCACACTCACTCACAATCATCACA